GGAGGGGGACAGGATAGGCCTTGGGGTGTCAGACTTGGTCACAGGGCTGATGTATCTCACATAGGATACATCAAGCCCTTTAATGCAGTGTGTGAGGAGACCTGGTTAGAAATAGCTGATGACCAGCTCATGAGGGAGAGTCCCAGCAGTGAGAAGAGGCAGTAGCTGTCCCTGCGACCTCCCCAGCTGCTGCATCCCACCCTGGATTCATCATGTCAACCTGGAATAAAAGCAAATCAAGGCTCTGGAGTCGGGTCACATCCAACTATACCGACACATAGGAAATGAAGCCCAGCAGCACCACTCCAGTCTAATGGAAATTAATGGGAATGGAGCAGCCACAGCTCTTGCTCATAATTTATTCATATACTTGGTAATGCCAGCCACTATTAATAGGTAGTGGTTTACATATCGCCCCCTCCATCCCCCGCCCTGAAGTCTGGCTGTAGCTTGTTTTAGCCCAGGAGCAGCCTGGGGGGCTGGGATGTGAGTATCAGAGTGTCACCAAAATCCCTCCAGCTGACAGGGAACCTCCTGCACATAATGCAGCACTGAAAATTATCTGTCATTGAACTGACCGACTGGGCAGGGGACAGCAAAATGTTGGCAACTCCCTTCTACTTTCCACACTGTTCTGTACAGTGTCTGTCCTTGCCTGTTTGTTGCTGTCTCCAGGAGCCTTAGTTCCTAGCAGATTGTTACAGCTCCCTGCTCTTGCCAGCCAGGATGGGATGCTGGCTGCCTGAGGCACAGCTCAGCCTGACGCAGCAGTTCTTGTGGAGCACTAGGCTCCATCCTCATCCATGGCAATCCCACTCCCTGTGGCCACGCATTGTGTGCAGGGTGTTCGTAGCTCTGGGCCCTGAATTTACAAATGCAGACATTGGAAGCTCATGGTGAAATCTTTGCCATTTGTTCTCAATCCAGAGATGACATTTTTGGTGATGCCCATGACTAATATTTTTCCTTCCTATTTGTTTTGTCACAGCCACTCCCAAAGGCCCCAGAAAGCCAGCAGGTGGGACAGGTGAGACCTTCTTGCATGCACATCATCTCAGGCTCACACGGGGTTTGCTTCCCATGGGGGTTTGAACTGTGAGCTCCCGTGGACTGCCTGTGTGTGGCTGGGTGCTGCTGCCTCAGCAGCAGCTTTGGGACCCCTTTGCTTGCCCATAGGGAAGCTGGAGCTGGTGTGAGCACATGCACTGCTCCTGTACAGCCACATAAATGCAATATTGATATTTCTGTCCGTGCTGAAGGCAAGTGGCAGCAGAGCATTTACAGCCAAGGCTGAATTTCACACACTTTGCAGTATCCTAATGGAAAAGACACAAATCACTGCTCAGCTGTACAAGGGCTTTTGTTCCTGGCTGCATGGCACCTGCGAGGATTCCTTCCAAGAGGGGGTCCAAGATAATCCCCAACCTCCATGGAAAGTCCCAGCCTGGGGACACCTCTCCATCTATGGGAGAATGTCGTTCTGACTGTGCACATCAGATGTGCTGGCTGGCCAGCTCCCAGCAGTGCCACGGTTGAGGAAGCTCCCTTAAATGCATCCGAGTTTTGCTGCCAGCAGCTCCTCTGGCTCAGTTCTGGCCAAAGAGTCCTGTTTAAATATAGTGTGGTCACAGGAGCTGAGGGTTGCTCAACCCTGCCAGAGGAGCCTGAAATAAACTGCAGTGGGGAAGTGCTCGGAACTGAATCCGCTCACCCCTGCATGAGGATCTTGGCACAAATTTAAGCAAATTCAGCTGTCTGGCTCCTTGGCCACCATGGTCTTTGCTAAGGAGAAGAAAAGCCCAATGCCAGAAGCACACGCAGGGCTTCAGTGTTTGGATCGTGGCCGGAACAAGAGGTTGAGCCAGTAAACTCTCCCTGGAGAGGCATGGAGACATGCTGAGGCTTCATCTCAGCCAGTTTCTTCTTCCCCAGGGAGTGCTTTATCAGTGAACGATGGCACTGAGGTGCTTCTGCAGTGGGTTCCTGTGCCTTGGCTACTTTCCCATGCATGCTCTGCTCAGCTCAGGGTCACTCACGGGTGGCCACATGGGGAGCAGGGTGTGCCCTCGCCACTGGCTCAGTCCCCACAGCACTTCTCATCCACATCATCTCTGGGGAGATGCTGCAGGGCACCAGTGGGACACTCCCACAGTGCATTATTTTGGGGTTGCTGGGGCTAGGGGTGGGTAGCAGCCACAACTTAGATGGGAAGACTGAAATGGTAGCCAGGCTGCTCTGAAGGCTCTGTGATAGGTCAGAGTTGAGCAGTGGAGTAGTTCATGCCCTTTCCAGCTGCAGGCTGATGTGGGTTGTGGTAAGCCATGGCAATGGTGCAGCACCATGTGCATAGCACCCTCAGAGCTGCTGCTTTGGGGATGTGTGATGACAGCCACGCGCCGTCCCCACAGACAGCAGGAGTTTAACAATCCCTTCTCTCCTGCAGGCTTTGATTTGGCTGATTACTTTGACACACCTCTGGAGACTACAACCAAACCAGCCAAGCCAACTCCAAAGCCCTACCCCAGGCCAGGGAAGCCAGGTACTGTGAAGCTCCCTGCACCCCAGGGAGGGAGAATTCAGGGCTCCAGTTGGGGAAAAACACTCTCCAAGGTAACCAGGAACTATCCTGGCAGCCAGGATGCTGGTATTGGTCATTGACAGATGAACTTTGGCAAGTTTTGGTGACCACCAACAGGTATCTTTAAAAGGTAACCACCTCCTTGTGGCAGAGATGATGCTTCAGTCTCTCACGGATGTGCCAGCAGAGTTGGCACCAGCATTTCACCATCCTCCCTCCCTCGTTGCCCATGCACCCCTGCCCGAGCTGTACTGGGGCTTCGCCAAGCAGCATTTGTAAAGTTTTTAACCAGGACATAGCCATTGACTGTTGTTAGGGGGAAGATCTCATTGACCAAGTAGCAGATCCCTAAGTGGCTTTTTGGCAGTGCCTGGTCCTGCTCCCATGTGCTGTGGGAAACTGTCAGGGTGGCACAGGGCTGCCCTCGCAGTGAGAGCTCTCAGGAGCAGGTGGTAGTCTGCATCCCACTACTATCGTGTTAGGTGGAATTTTCCTGGCATCCCTGCTTGTCCCCTTCTCAAATCCAAGCCCTGCTGACACGTGCTTGGTGCAGAGGGTCTCTGTGAAGGTGCTTACCACCCTCACTGAGGGTTCAAGTATCCCCAGGGCACCCATGGGTGGGGGTGCCCTGGGGTCAAGGCAGATGAAGCTGTGGAGACACTAGAGCACTGGAACTGGCCCAGTTCAGCCTCAGTCTCACTGAAGGGAGGGGTTTCCCCTCCCAGCATTCTTCCGAACCCACATTTCAAAGAGTAGTGTCATTTTGGTCTCTTTTTGTTTTTACCTCCCTTCAGACAACAGCTTTTGGGATGTCATTCATACCACCACAACCAAGCAGCCAAAAACTACGAGGGCCCCTCCTAAGCATAACCCAGGTGAGTGTCAGCTCCACAGCCCCTGCTGCTTCACCCCAACTCTGCTGCCAGCACAGGCAGAGACTTAGGGATGTGCTATGATGGTGGCTCTACCCTCACCCACTATTTGTAGTGTCTAGTCTATTTGCTTACATAAGACACCTTGAGAAAAAAACAAGTATCAAAACCACAGAGCAGACAGGGCATCTCAGCATTACCCTGTACTTCCATGGGGGTCTTGGTGGTTCTTGGACCATTTTTCATCCCCAGGCCTGTTTGAAGGCTGTGAGCTGGCTGTCTTTCCCTGTCATGGCACAGCCAGACTGGGCTCTGCTGGCACAGCCACTGCACAGGCCCAGGGCGCCCTGTCAGCTGGGTATTTTGTTGCCTGCTTAGGCAGAGTTTTGGCAAAAGGCACTCCCAGGCTGAAAAAAAATAATTAAAAATCAGATTTGGACTGGAATAAACTCAGGTGCATGCTGGGGGGAGGGCTGACGAGTGTAGTTGGCTCTGTGCCGCGGTGCTAGCTACCATTTAGCAAAGGCAGTAGCCCCTGTTTGAACTGGGCTGCTCAGGGGCCCAGCTGGGCATCCAGAGGAAAATAACTCCAGGGAATCAAATGGCAGGCCACTCCAGCCAGGATGCCAACATGGCACAGCAACAACCTTCCCCTCTGCTGGCTGACCCTTGGAGTTTGGCTCCAGCCTTTCTTACTGGCTTCATTTATCCAATTGCCTGGCACTCTAGCCATGGCAAGACTGTTTCTGCTGGAAGGACATGATGTTTCCCACCACAGCAGTGCAGGGGCACAGAACGAGATGGGTTTGGAAGACCTGCTATGACGCTGCATAGTGGAACTGGGAGCTGCTTGTGTCAGGGCCTTCATCTCTTTCCTACAGCCACACTGCTAACCTCTGTCTTGTTTACTAGGAAAGAATCCTATGGATTTTGACTTGGCTGATGCCCTTGATGATAAGAACGATGGGAAAGATGCTGGGAGGCCAAACATAAGGCCAGGTGAAGGTATGGTGACCTCTCCTTCCTGCTTGCCACCAGCATCACTGTCTCCCAGGACTTGCAGGAGATCCTCCCCATCCCCTCATTGCTGGACACCATCTGCACCAAGTGATGGGTAAAGGGAAACAACTGCTGCCTGGTCTGAGGTCCTGCCCACCGGCAGCACACACTGCCCCTGCACTGCCTGACCAGAGTGGGGATGTTTCTGCAGGCAGCTTGGCCCTCAGGAGGGAAGCATCTCTGCCGCAATGGTCCCTGACAGAGAGGGGCTTTGCTTTATGACCTGCTGCCTGTCTGTCCACAGGGTTTTTTTCGCCAAGGTCTCTTCTGACCCATTAAATTGTGGTGGTTTTGTTGAGTTCTCACCCATCCCTATACCTGACAGCGCTTTAACTGAGGGCACGTGCTGTTGGGGTTCACAGTCATTGCCAAGGCGTAAATCCAGAGCAGGCTGAAGTCCTGGCACAACATACACTATGGGCTGGGAGGGTTTTTTTCCATCTCTGAAATACTCCAGTGAATGAATCATTTGTCTATGAGGATTGTTCCCCTGAGCACTTGAGCTAGGAAACAGACTTTGCACGGCTGGTTTATTGATGTCAGGATGGCCATATACCCTGCTCACACGCGTAATTAACAGTCAGGTATTTTATTACATTGTATTAACTAGGTGACTTGTCTGCACTTCGGTTCTCTGGGCTTGCTGAGGTTTCAGTCTCCTGCAGCAAAGGTTGAGGCGCTGAACCCCTGGAACGTGGCACTGGCCACAAACCAGCACACACGTTCCCCAGCATCTCTGCTCCCTGGACTGCCTGGGACCTCTCCAGGCTCTGGCATAGTCAGAGCTTTCATTCTTTTTACACTCATTACTAAGCTCATAAATCTGGTTTTCTGTGGTAAGTTGATGAATAAGGCAGTCTCTTCCAGGCTGTTAAGGCAAAGGAAACCCTTCCCAAGGCACAGCGTCAGAGGAGTCTTTTGCTGGCTCAGTATTGGGTCTCTTCTCCCATCATGTGCCTTGCTGCACCCCAAGGCTCCCTTTGGGACCAGGGCTGAGGTGTTCAACAGCTCCACTCATTCAGCTGCAAATTCCCAGACTCTGTTTCTCTGCACTTCTCCTGCATGAATTAAACATGCCCACTACAACAATGTCTGAGATAACTTTTCCACCTGTACTGAGACATGCTGGTGCTCAGTTCATCCCCTGGACTGCTCTGTCCCTCTGGGAAGGATGAAGGTCAGCTCCTGCCTGCAGGACCCCACGCCCAGCTGGCACTGCCAGGGGCATGCCAGAGGCAGGGCAAGGGCACACTGGTCATTGCACACACAAACCACTTATTCCTGCCTGCTCTGCTGCCAGCTGAGACTGAGCACCAAAACATTTCAAGAACTCTTAAATACATCAGTCATTTCAGTTATAAAAATAATACAGTAGCATGTAAACTTTGATTTAGGGGCATTTCTTTCGAGCTAGACTTAAAGTCACTTATTACCTCTATGAGCTTAAAATCATTTGGGGTTAAACATTTTGTTAACATTGGGTAATTGCAAGAGAAACAGAATTGCTTATTGACGAGTCCCAGTTCACAAAGGGGATGGAGCAGCCTGTGACCCCAACCTCCAGTGCAGCCACAGCTCTCTCAGGTGCCAACCACCTTGTTCCTTTTCCTTTTAAAGGATTTTCAGACGATGACCTGGCCAGCATTGTGGATGGTGGCTACAGCCCAGACAAGAAGAAGGGTAAGCAGTGACCCATGTACAGCTGTTTACTTTAACAGTCACAGCTCAGGCAGTAATCACCAAACCAGTAATTTGGCTATTGTTGTAGTTTAACCCTGACCAGCAACCATACCCCATGCAGCCCCACTCCCCCACCAGCAGAACTGGGGAAAGAATTGGAAGGGTAAAAGCTAGAAAAACTCAAGGGTTGAGATAAAGGCAGTTTAATAGTTAAAGCAAAAGGTGCACACAAGCAAAGCAAAACAAGGAATTGATTCACTGCTTCCTGCAGGCAGGAGGTGTTCAGCCATCTCCAGGAGAGCAGGGTCCCACCATACATAATGGTTACTTGAGAAGACAAATGCTATCACTCCAACTGTCCCCCCCTCCTCCTCCTTTCCCCACCTTTATATACTGAGCATGATGTCATATGGTATGGACCATCCCTTTGGTCAGTTTGGGTCACCTGTCCTGTCTGTGTCTCCACACAACTTTACCATGCACCCCCAACTTCCTTGGCAGCGTGACAGTATAAGAAGCAGAAAAGGCCTTGGCTCTGTGTAAGCTCTGCTCAGTGGTAACAAAAACATCTCTGCATTATCAACCCTGTGTTCTGCACAAATCCAAAACACAGCCCCATACTAGCCACTGTGAAGAAAAGTCAACTACCTCAGTCAAAACCAGCACAGCAATAATCTGCCTAACTCCTAGAAAGAAACCTGTGCAGAGCAGCACTCACCTCCATGGCACGGGCAAAAGAGGTCTCAGCAGTGGAGCCAGGGAACCACACAGTTTTTGGCCCCTATGGTTACACCTGGTGCCAGTGGTTGGAGGTGCTTGTTTTTCATCCCATGGAGGCTCTGCAGCTTCAGCTAGTGCTAGTGCTAAGAGAGGACACACAGCTTCTTGTGTCTTCTACCACACAGAATCATAGAATCAGCTGGGTTGGAAGAGACCTCAAAGATCATTGAGTCCAACATGACCACCAATGGCTGGAGCAAGGGGGAAACCAGCAACAATTGGACAAGCTGCATGCTCATGAGGATCCACAATATTAAATATTAAAATTAGTCACGTAAAAAGCTGAACACCACAAGCCCAATCAACATTTAATGAATCCCTGTGCCAAGGACAAGCTGCATCAGAGGCATTAATACAATGCTGACCTGCTTCCATAAATTCAGGATGTGAGTGACTTGGCAAGGACTGCAGCTTTCAGCGGGAGCAGCGTTTTCTCCCAGCCTGTTTCTCCAGGGAAGGTGATGTCAAAATAGACTTCAAGCCAAGTGAGGGTTCCCAGACATGATGAAGCTCATGCCCGAGATGGCACCAGTGTGCTGTGTAACACTGACAGCCTTCCAGGTGTTCCCTTTGCACTGTGAGCAGTGGAGGTGTAAAGGCCAGGGGTGACTGTAACTGTTGTGCTGGCAGAGGTGTCCCCTGCAGAGGCTCCCCCAAAGCTCCCCCCAGGCACCTAAGAGGGAGAGGAGCAGCTTCAGACTCCTCTAAGAAGCAAGAACGAGCAGCCTCAGGCTGGCAGAGGTGTGGGGCAGCAGAGATGCTGTGCCCCTGGGCATACCCCCCCCCCCCCCTGCCACCCTTACCCTGTGCCCCCTCCCTCCCAGCACAGCAGTGGAGGGAGCAGAGGGGTGCAGGGCTGCTGACAGTTTTGTGTCTCTGCAGGTGCTGAGGGCAACACTGACAACAGCTACAGTGGTAAGTGCCACCATGGATGTGGAGTCAGCAGTGGGATGGGGTGGGTGGTGTGTGTGCCTTCTCCGCACTTCTCCCCACTCTCTCTGTGCCCCACAGTGGCAGAGACAGGGACTATCGCCGGCATCGCCAGCGGCCTGGCCATGGCACTCATCGGGGCTGTCTCCAGCTACATCTCCTACCAGCAAAAGAAGTTCTGCTTCAGCATCCAGCGTAAGTCCCTCCCCGAGCTCCTTTTGGAAGGAGCCCACAGCTATTTGCCCCCTGAACCCCATTTTCCAGCCTGAAGATGGGAGGGGGTTTCAGGCACCCGGTGCCTCTGGGCTTGCAGAGCAAAGCCCCAACCACAGGTCACTGAGCCTCTCACCTTGTCAGGCTTTGCACAGCAAGAACCCACCAGCAGCAACAGTCCTGGGACTCACTGCTACCCAGCACCTGCACACAGCCCCTTTTACTCCCTACAGACAGTCACAGCCCAAGACCAAACCAACAGCATCAAACACAGTAAATATGAAAATAAACACCCCACCCCAAAATAAACAGACCAAAAGAAACCCACCCCAAAGTCTCAGCAAGCAGTAAAAACTCACCAGGCAGCAGGGAAGGAAACAGGGTGAAGTGTCTGCATCAGGGGCAGCCTGGGAGAGGGTTCAGCCCACCACACCCTGAGCAGGTGTATGGCAATCACTGCAGTTAAGTGCAAATTAAGCAGCAAAACTTCCTATTCCCAGAAAACACCTTTTGTCCAAGCTGCCCTGTAAAGCTGCTCAGTGCAAGCACTGCAGGAATGTCCTGGCAGCCTCAGCCCACAACATCCACCTGGCCGTGTTGGGCTCCTGCAGGCCTTTCTGGGAAGGGGGTTGCAAACAGCTGGAAAAAGCTATTTATTAAATTAATCAATTGCATTCTCCTGGGAGCCCCGTTTGCTCCAGGGAAAGGGTGTTTGGGGTGGGAAATTTCTGCTGGAATTGTGCTATTTTCCCAGTTGTGCCTGAAACAAA